TAGTTCAATAATAAAAACAGATAGAAATAATGTACTATAGAAAACTCGCAAACCTAATAGTCTCATCCAGAATATTTTGTTCTATGAAAGTTCTGTGCATTATTTAAACAAAAAACAAACAGGAGACATTGGACACTACTGCATTTGTTTATAATGCGTATAGTATTATGAAAAATGTATACATCTGTACGTAAAAGTTATCAATAAAAGACATATTAACCAACCTGAGAAATTTCAAAGGGTACCCCTGCAGTTTTGTGATTGTATGTTGATTGGCAAATTGATATAAGATACCAGTTATGCCAGCAACTGACAAACAATGAAGTTTTTTTTCCTCCTTGATTTACCCATTAGCTAAAAAGGTGTGTATGCAGGGAGGAGGAAATGTGTTTCTGTAGCTGAAGTTTAGGAATACACTTTGACTGGACCCTTTTTGTTTTGATTTTTAAAGCATTAAAAAAAGTGGGGGTGGGGGTGGGGAATAAAAAGGGGGAAATTAAGCCACCAGATGGAAATGAGAAATTCCTTTCCTCTCTCTCTTTCTCCCCAGGGTAGGGACAGCAGTGTTACATTTTGGGGGGCTATGTCAAAATGCCGACAAGACCGGCTTCAGGGGTGTATTTGGTAGCCGTATTGGTTTCAGACAAAAAGAAATGCAAAAAACTCTAGAACTCTTGGTTCAGAGATGATACCCTTTATTAAACCAACTAAGAAATCACACAAAAAAAGATTTTTTTTGCATAATTTCTTAGTTGGTTTAATAAAAGGTATCATCTCTGAACCAAGAGTTCTAGAGTTTTGCATTTCTAACAAGACAGGCTTGCATTTTTAATAGAGTTTGCATGATTGCAGGTCTTATTATGAAGCAGTTAATTCGCTTCCCCAGAATTCTTAAAATGTATATATTTAGATGTATAGTTATCTAGATTTGTCCTGAAACTCCTTTCTTAATGCTGAATAACCTCCCATATAGGAAGCAGAAAGGTTACTAAACCTGCAAGAATACAGGAAGTATTGCTTACTTATTAATGAAAAGAAAAAAAATGAATCCCATTAAAATGTTTCACTGCATCCTTTTTCAGGTCAGAACACAGCATTTTCCCCTTGTCTCACGGGGAATTCATGATTTATATTGCTTGCTGGAGAGTTGCTAGACAAATGCATTATCCAGAACCTTCTCCTTCCTTGTTGGAGGTATTAATCTATCAGCACCTAACACGTTTTCCAGCATTCTCCACCACGCAGCTGTACATTCGAAGATACTTTTCATGATAAATCTGTGAAATTCAGACAAGTACTTTGCATTACCTCACCACATTGAGGACCATGATATTATAGTCAGATTGACATTTGGAAATGGATTTACCAACTGACTTTGGCATACAATCTTGGACTAGAAAAAACCCTCATTTTGGCAGATGCACACAAGCCATTTATATAATTATTTAGTGTGCTGCTCAATACTGAACACAATTCTTGAACACAAAGAAACAGTTAATTGTACAATATTGCTATCTTAAGAGTGGATAGCTTGCCAGTGCTTAACCTGATATTTTATTTCAAATATCAACAATGAAATGTTCGGGGAAGCTGGAATCTGCAATTTAAAGTACTGATCTTTTTTAGAAGGAAATTAATGCAGCAGAGGCCATGCACAGTTAGGGGAGATAACAGGTGACAGAGGAAAATGTAATAATTTTGATGTCAACAGCTTGCTTACCCTATTTGTTTGGTCAGCCTTACACAAAAACATACCAAATAAATGATATATAAAGGACATATGTTATTATAGGTAAAAACAGAATACTGTTAATTCACTTCTTGCTCTATGACAATATTAACATGGAGATCTAAACTATATAATCAGACTGTAATTTTTCTCAAACTTCTTTAGTTTTGCACCTCATTTTCCAGCTCTTCAAATGCTACACTTGTCAACATGGGTATTCCTGCAATTAGCAGCTGCAAATATAAGAATGTAGACACCATGTCAGTGTGTGAAACAGTCTGTTCACCAATACATTTTTGCTATGGGCATTAAGCTATACGTTATGCAGGTCTTGAAAAATATATTGCATGAAACTGCACAACAAAGCTTTGTAGTAGAGCTCCTGGAAGAAAAAAATATGATGGAAGTGACCATCTCCTCAGGCAGCAGGAGTTTATTAGCGGGCTAGACAATACCCATTATAAGCAGTTATTTATAGGAAAGCTTCCAAGCTGCACCCCAGTACACACAATTATTTCATAATTGGAGTCAAGAAGAAAGTGAGCCTAAAAAAACCCCTAACAGATATAACAAGATAGTTAGCCATATTAGTCTCAAATCAGGCAGAAGGTAGAATAGGGTGGCACCTTAGAAGCTATTTCTGCTCCCTGGCAGACATTACACTTCAGACCTATTAACCAGTTAATCCTATCTTAAATAATAAGACAGTCACATGTTCAGGCTATTAATGGGGTAATAAACCAGGACATAAGCAAAAAATGTTATTCCATAAGATGAATAATAATTTTGTGGCTGGTTTCCATCACACCTTAAACTGAAGATGTGGTAGGGTGGTCTGTACACCAGGGTCTTCAACTGGCCCCGGTACATCCCCATCAATTGATTAACCAACTGTCAGCTGGATTCAAGCCTGCACTAGGGCTCCGACCTGTCCCCATGTAGTCCCTGCCTGCTGACTATCAGCTGATCATCAGCTAGATCAAGACTGTACCACAGCTTGGGTCCCCAGAGCCAGCAGACAATCAGCTGATTGTCAAGCATCCAACTTTCTACTTGCCAGTGCAGGGGGAGCCCAGGATCATGAGACTGTTTTGCAGTACTCTGACCCCTTGCAGATTTGCAGTGTAACTTCTCTATATTCATGATATGGTCAATATGCAGTTCCCCCAGCATGCTCTCCCTATGCCTGAAGAAAGGTGTTTGTGCCTGAAAGCTTGCAAAGAACAATTTTCAAACTATTTAGTTGGTCTAATAAAAGATACCACATTTACCAAAAGAACCTTATCTGCCTATGTCCTTAGACCAACATGGCTACAACCACCAACCCTAAGGCACTCACCATCACAGCTTTTCTGACACGTTCTATACCTGACCATTACCTACTACACTTTCAAAATACCCAAATTGCTTCTGGTAGAGTACACTGGAACACTGCATGACAGAACCAAAATGAAGAAACGAAGTACTCTGGGTAAATCAGAGCCTTAATACGCTAGAGTGATCATATCAACCTGCACTAGCAACCTGCACTTACTGTTCACATGAACGTGCATGTCTGAGCAGGCAGTCTCCTTTTACAGTCTTTCCACATTTAGTGACAGATGCTATTAAGAATCAGGCTTCTATTGGCTGGTGTGTGTGTGTGTAAAAATTGACTGAACGAAATCAGAAGAAAGGACAAAATAAGTAATGACTGAAAAACACTGAGCCTAAACTGTAATGTGTTAAAAAACAAAATGAAGTAGTTCTAGCTGTTATACCTACCTGATGAGGTTTATTGCCAACTTTTCTGGCATTTGTGCATACTTATAAAAAGAAAGAAAAAAACAAAACAAAACTTTCACCTATTTTATTTCCCTTCACACCCTTCGACTGTAAAATCCAAATGCAACACAGAGCCTAAATATATGGGGAAACAGGCAAGCTGACAGTGCATGAAAGCCCTGATGAGGAAAACCATTTAAGTACATGCTTAAGTCTTACTGACTGCAAGGACCATAATGCTATCAAATGCAACGATGAAGCTGAGAAGGTACCTCTCAAATCTTTCATTTATAGTAATCTCAGTTACTTATAAACTTAGGTAGGAGCCAAACAATGTCCGGAGAAAAGTGATTTTTTTAAGTTGGTTTCCTTTTAAGAACAGCATTACAGAGAAACCACCTACAAACACATGAATCAGATAAAACTATTTGCTTTAGAAAAGTGTTATTAGCAAAAATATTTGCAAGTACAAGAATCTTGGTTTGTAACAAATAGTAAAGTATTCTTAATGGACTTTATTTTGCAAGATGTTTAAAAGACTCCCCTCTGATCTTTTCAACCTTTGGCCTTCATTTGTTTTTACAAGCAGAGGTCAACAGGTCATAACACTAAGATCAGCAAGTTATTTACACATATGGCAAGCATATATCAAGTAGCAGTGTAGTCAAAGCTACAGCTAAGCACAAGAAAGCTATTGCTTCAGTTGAAACAACAGAGCATAAAGTACATATGCACACAGTTACATTTGTAGCAAAATACTGTGAAATTTGGTCTAGTAATATGTTTGTTGATTTTTTTTCCAGGGTGAAGAGGCATGCTCAAATCTATTTCATCAACCAGGGTTCCTTGAAATGTTTAACACATGTTCTGTAAAGATGACAGCCTTAGAAGAGATCAACTATGATACTGAGGGGCACTTGTAAGTTGAGTGCAGTGCTGTGACAATGCTCATGAAGTGCGCTGAACAGTAACTCGGTAAATTAAAATTAAGGCAAGTAGGAATGTTTATGGTGCGTGGGCGGTGTGCACACACAGGTTTTAAATGGCATTTAAAAACACTGATGGTCCATTACTGGAGACCAGATAATGTATATTTTACTAGGTTCACTCTATTATGGTGAGTTTTATAACCTGAACACATTCATTATTAAGTTTGTATATTTAAAAAGCTTATTCTTTTACTTACAGTAACACAGCCCCCCCCGGTAAGCAAGATGTCCATCCAAAAGACCAAATCATGTGAAGGAGGCAAGTTTTAAGATTTTTTACAGTTGTTTGATACAGGGCTTTTCAAAAATGACTTTCAGGCTTAACATTTTGCATACCAAGGCTCCTAGCAGATGTTAATCACTCAATTCGATCTGAAAAATGTCATCCTGGATCCCCAAAATATACACATCCTGCCATACCAAATACACAGTGTGTATATGCACACTGTTGCGTGTGTTGCTGGCAAGTTGAAAGGCAAGCCGAGGCAGCCTAGCTTAGTGGAACTGGTGCAGTGTACCTTTAAGCATCCAGGAACTCGGGAGTAAAGATGTGCTGATGCAGCCTTAAAATGTCCTAAAAAGTTTGCCAGGAAACAAATATAAACAAGTGTTTGAAATAACATAACATTGGTAACACGCATGCTAACATGCATAAAGTATAAAAAAATTTTAAAACATTAAAGCCATTACATTTAGAAAATATGTTTATCATCAAGTGCTATTAAAAGATATATACATACACACAGATATGCACATACATATTATCTCCTCTCCTGTTTTGAGATGCACAGGAGTATATTTTTGAAAACTGCTTTCACTCTCATTTATAAAAACAGCGAAGCAGATATAAGAAGCACATAAAAAGAAATATCACCAGATTCTAAAAGAAACTCAATTAGTCTCTGCAAAACACTTCAGCTGTCAAGTTTGCTGAACCTACACAAAAATAAAGTGCAATTTATTTTGTTCTTCATGATGTTGCTCCAAGAATTTATAATAAACTAAACCAATAAAGTATGTAGCGAGCAGCATTAAAGGTCTACTGTTACTTTACAAAATATGCTGGCAGCAGAAAACAGGCTCCTTATACTTTTCTGTATAAATGCAAACACTCAAAGTCAAAATGAGGTTAGAGAGACAAATCTCTCAACTGACAGAATAAAAACAAGAGCCCCCCATTAAAATCATCCTTTTCAATCTTACTGACATTTTGCCCGGTACAAATCTTTGGGAACAAAATATTTCACTTTTGACAAAATTAAACTTATCCAAGTATCCATATGTCAGATAATGGAAGATGGCAAGAAAATGAGTTTGAATTTCACAGAAATACCTTGGAGTTTAATGTATTACACACATTTTTATCTTCCTTGGGGGCCTGAACCTGAAAAAAATGAAACAACCCCCCCCCACATGCATACATTTAAAGAAATGTTTAATCCCATGAACTCAAATAGGATTATTCATATATTTGAACATATGTTTAAACTTCACAAGATCAATATATTAATTGCTTCCAAAAAGAGAGTGAGAGCAAGAGCATGCATGAGAGCATGTGAGGGAGAGAACCTGAAAGCAGGCAAATTTCAGGCAAATATACTGCCATGCCTCAAAACAGCATAGGAGAGGAGATTTACACGCACGCACACACGCACACACGCACGCACATATATATAAAACCATTATATTTGCATGATAAATGCAGAAGCATAGAAAAACAGGGCTAAAGGGAACCTAGGAGGTCATCTAGCCCAATCCCATGATCAAAGACAACATCACCCCCATCTAAACCATCTCGCCCAAGGGTTAAAGAAACGTATTCTTTTAAATGCCCTAAACTTCGTTCCACAGCTCAAACTGACTTCAAACAAATTCTTCCTAATATTCAACATAAAATTCCCATTTTTGCAAAGTTAGGTAATTAACTTCTTGTCCTGTCCTCTGTAGCCACAGAGGATAGGCTATCACCATTTTCTTCACAACCATTTGATAAGTCTTCCCTTCTTCAGACTAAGTAATGTTATATCTTACAATTTTTTCTTGCAAATCCATGTTCCCATACTTAGTTGCCCTCTGGTGTACTCTTTTCAATGCGTTTACATCTTTTTTGAAGTGTGGTGACCAAAACTGTACAGAGTACTCCAGACGAGGCTTCACCAGTTCTGAATAAAAGTGGAAGTAGAAGCAGTATAATGGAGTAAATAGCTAGGAGCCAGAACATGCAACCTAGTTTGGGTATCTCTGCACAGCACAGCCATAGTGTATCAGATGATAGTTTGTATGCTTTTTACTTATTTATGAGTTGGGTACGTGTCCCTTTAGCAGTCCTTATGTCTAAAGGAACCAGACAAGTCCATGTCTAGCACTGGACTTCACTACATGTGAAAGCAAGTCTCTATCACTTAAAAGTGAGATGTCTCCAACCACTGTAGAAAGACATTTATCTTTGGCAGTATTATCAGATTAAAATTTTGAGTGGTGCATATTAAGGTACTTTTAAACTTAAAAAAAGAAAGGAAAACAAGGTTAAAAATAAAATGGTGGGCCAAGAGGCTCATTAGTGATAGTTCTTCCATACCTCAGCTTTGGAGAGAGAGGGCTAACTGTTCTCTCTGTGTTGGTAGAAGTGGGGATAGAAAGGAGAAGGCAGACAAAAATGAAACACAAAACAATTTGAAAAACCATGATGGGTGTGGGCATCCAGAATATGATGTAATTTGTGACCTGCAACCAAAAACTGGAAAACAATAGTCCAATCATTAGAGACAACAACATAGTAGGGCTTTGCAAAATTTTGCCATGCGTTTCATTTTGAAACGTTTTGAGCTAAAAACAGCAAAACTGAAACAAAACAAAAGCATCAAAACAGCTTCAAAACGAAATGAGGGCACTCAAAACGTTTCAAAAGGTTTCAAGTTTTGAAGCACCCCGGTGGTGGAGGCACAGGAGAGCCAGGGCTGCGCTCCAAGCGGCTCCACAGCCCCATGTAGCTCAGCCTGGTAGGGAGCACAGGCCTGGCTCTCTTCACCTCCCACCACCAGGCTGCGCTCCGAACGGCTCCACCAGCCCCACAGGGTGCAGCCCAGCGGCAGGATCTGTGCCCCAGATGAGAGGAGGCTCAGACTGCCTCTCCCACCTAGGACTGATGCTGGGCATAGGCTGTGCCCAGCACTGTACAAGATCACTACTGCCGCAGCCTCAGCCTGAGAGAGCTGCTGGGCTGTGCCCGACTCCTCCCAGGGGTGCGACTCCTCCAGACTCCTGCCTGGGACATGCAGCAGCAGCAATTTTCTCTGGTGCTGGGCGCAACCCGTGCCCAGCGCCAGTCCCAGGTGACAGGGAAGCTTCCTCTTATCTGGGTCACAGATCCAGGGGCCCACACCCCAGGAGGAGTCCAGCACAGCCCCGCAGCCCTCCCAAGGGTGCGAGCCCCCAGATCTGCATGCTGACTGACAGGAGGCTGTTGCTGCCATCAAATTTTGCTTTCAAGACTTTGAGGTGCAGTTTCCAAGAATCCTCTGCACCCATCTCCTTGAAACTTGGCAGGCTTCATGCCCTCAGAAGGGGCTACCAGCCCTGCAATTTGCATCCAAATCAGGCAACAAATGATAACATTTTAGGCATTTTCATGATTCCTCATTATAGTCTACGGACAAAACACTGAAATGAGTCAAAACAGTGAAACAGTTTCGGCTAAATGAAACAGGACAGTGCTTCGAAATTAAACGAAATGACAAAACATAACACTGTCTCTTTGAAATGGTGAAACAGAATGGAAACAAAATGGCAGCATTTCGCATAGCCCTACAACAGTCATTTAAAGCTTGATGAGAACCCCCTATCCTACTTCTATACATTTTTAGGATCCATTAAGAGGGTATATATAGAGCAATAGTTCAAAGTAGCTGTGGAGCTAGTAAGGATAGCCCTGAGAGCATGAGAGAGTGATCAGATACAAACACATTTTACTACGAGTGTCTCACTGACTGGGATGCTGGTCTTCCCTCCCCAAGGAAAACATTTCCTTTATGTGGCAGTGTTTGAGGAATCAGTGCATCACTATAGCCCGAACTTTTCTGTACTGTTTCATCAGACTGTACTCACAAGATAGGCAGTAGAACCTAGCACTGAAATACTTGCCCTGCTGCAGTATGCAGATCAGACTTAAGGGAAAGGTTTCCTTTTGTGCCTTTCTTAGAGCACTTCCTAAAGGAATCCCGAATCAGACTTCTGAATATAAATGATCAGGAGTTGGGGTTTTTTTATACTACTAGTAGAATCTCGTCTTTCTTATTCACCATCTGATCCTCAGAGAGAGAAATATCAGAAAGAGCTCTCAGGAATGGTGAGGAAGGAACTTGGTCATTACTTTATTCTCATGAAAGATTTGTATTAATCTGCATTAAGAAAGAGCTTCCCACAGCCCTGTGCTTTGCTCAGTGGCATTTGCTGAACCATGGTTCGGACAATAGGCTATAGTTCTAAAGCAGCAGTTCCCAAACTATGGGTTGCAACTCCAAGTGGGATCGCAACATCAGTGAATGGGGTTGCAATAAGTATGCCCCCTGAGATTTGTGCCAACATTGAGGTACAGGGCTACAGCTGGAATCAACCAGGGCTGGGAAGGAGCCGCCTCTGCAGCCTAGCGGGCGGGACCCATTGTGGGAGGGAGTGCCACACCACCATGGCCTCCAAGGTCCGGGTGAACGTGAGGCATTTCAGTTTGGTAGCCACAACAGTGCAGTGCGGTGAGGTGCGGCGCAGAACAGCACAGCGCAGCACTCCCTCCTGCACCAGGTCCCACCCACAGGACTGCAGAGCCCCTGGGGAGAGGGCAGCAGGCAGCCTGCATCCTCCCTCACCACAGGCAGTGCTGCCCACAGGGGAGGGGACAAGAGTTGGG